CTTAAAGGCCTCCTGGGCGGTCTTGGGGGCCTCTTGGGGCCGTCTTGGGGCCCTCTTGGGCCGTTCTGGGCCCATCTTGGAAGCCTCTTGGGCGATCTTTCGGCGATTTTTGGGGGTTCGTGGGCCGTCTCGGGCCGTCGGAAGGTCGAACAGAAGCAAATGTCAAAATCATTTAAAACGTAGGACAATCCAAGTTTTTGGCCTTCTCGGGCCTTCCTGGAGGCCCTCTTGGAGGCCTCTTGGCCCGTCTTTGGCCAGCTTCGAGCCAACTTCGGCCATCTTGGTGGGTTCCTGGCCCGTCTGATGCTGTCGGGAGCCGTCTTGGGGGCCTCTCTGAACCGACTTGGGGTCCTCTTGGGGCGCTTCGGGGCCGTCTTGGAGGCCATCTTGGGCGTCTTGGAGGTCTCGTGGGCCGTCTTGGGGCCATCTTGGGGCCGTCTTGGAGGCCTCTTGGGCCGTCATAGGGCCCTCTTGGAGGCCTCTTGGGCGATCTTGGGACGACGTCGGGGGCCTCTTTGGCCGTCCCGGGCCGTCGGAAAGCAGAAAAAGCGCAAATGCCAAAATCCTTCAAAAACCTAAAAGAAACTCACGGATTTTGGCCTCTTGGGGCCTTCCTGGAAGACCTCTTGGAGGCCTCTTGGACCGTCTTGGAGGCCTCTTGGGAGCCTCTTGGGCCGTTTTGGGCCATCTTGAGGCCATCTGAGGGCGTCTTGGGTGCACCTTGGGCCGTCTTGGAGGCATCTTGGGGCCATCTTAGCCGTCTTGGAAGCCATGCTGGCCGTCTTTGAGGCGTCTTGGAGGCCATCTTGGGCGATCTTGGGGACCGTCTGGGGCGAACAAAAACTTTGCAACGGGGTCCGGGCAATCTTTTTCGGCATCCTTCCAGGTGGCCGGCGGGACGGACCGAAGCCCCAGGGGGAGTTCTTTTGGAAAACGAACCAAAACCATATCGTTCGGCACGCCAGGTCCCCCTGCGATGAATCGACAGGGGGCGGCGGATCGAAGACGCCTACGGCGAATCACCGCCGCCCCCTGCCTTTGTGGAAGCGCCTATGTGGCCGAACGTTGAGGCCAGACCTGCCAAGCTATCGGACCATGTGTTCCCCGAATCGGTTTGGAAAGCCTTCGGGGAACACGTGGGCATCTTGAAGGTCATCTTGGCCGTCTGGAGGCCATTTGACTCTTTCTGGCCTTCTTGGAGGACGTCTTGGAGGGCTCTTGGACCGTCTTGGAGGCCATCTTGAGTGTCTTGGAGACCTCTTGGGCCGTCTTGGGGGCCTCTTGGGGCTGTGTCTTGGGCCTCTTGGGCGATCTTTGGGGGCACTTGGGCCGTCTCGGGCCGTCGGAAGGCAGAAAAAAACAAATGCCAAATCCTTCAAACACCCATGGGAAATCAATACTTTTGGCCTTTTCGGGCCTTCCTGGAGATCCTCTTGGAGGCCTCTTGAGCCGTCTTGGGCCATCTTAGGGTCATGTTCGGCCGTCTTGGTAGGGTCTTGGCCCGTCCGACGCCGTCGGAAGCCGTTTGGGGAGCCTCTCTGGGTCGACTTGGGGCCCTCTTGGAATGCTCCAGGGCTGTCTTGGAGACCATCTTGGGCGTCTTAAAGGCCTCCTGTGCCGTCTTGGGGGCCTCCTGGGGCCGTCTTGGGGCGCTTCTTGGGCCGTTCTGGGGCCATCTTGGAGGCCTCTTGGGCGATCTTTCGGCGATCTTCGGGGGCTATTGGGCCGCCTCGGGCCGTCGGAAGGCCGAAACAAAGGAAATACCTAATTCCGTCAAAAACCTTAGGAACATCAAGGTTGTTGGCCTCTTCTGGCCTTCCTGGAGGCCCTCTTGGGGGCCTCTTGGGCCGTCTTGTTTGGGTCAGCTTGGAGCCACTTCGGCCATCTTGGTGGGTTCCTGGCACGTCTGACGCCGTCGGGAGCCGTCTTGGGTGCCTTTCTGGGCCGATTGGGTGCCCTCATGGGGCGCTTCGGGGCCGTCTTGGAGGCCATCTTGGGCGTCTTGGAGGCCACCTTGGGGCCCCCTTGTGTCCGTCTTGGAGGCCACTTGGGCCGTCATGGGGCCCTCTTGGGGGCCTCTTCGGCGATCTTGGGGGCCTCTTGGGCCGTCTTGAGCCGTCGGAATGCCGAGAAGAAGCAAATTCCAAAATCCTTCAAACACCGAGGGGAAATCAACGATTTCGGCCTCTTCGGGCCCTTCTGGAGGACCTCTTGGAGGCCTCTTGGGCCGTCTGGGAGGCCTCTGGGGGGCCTCTTGGGCCGTCTTGGGCCGTGTTGGCCTCTCTTGGGCCGTCTTGGAGGCCGTCTTGGATCATCTTGGGCGGACTTGGAGGCCATCTTGGGCCATCTTCGCGATTGTTTGAGGATGTCCCGAGCGAAACGGCCGTTTCAAGCATTGACTGATGCAGTTTCCGGGTGGCCGGCTGGACGGCCCGAAGCCCCAGGGGGAGTTCTTTTGGAAAAAGAACCAAAACCAACACCGAGAGGATCTAGCACGCCAGGCACCCCTGCGATGAATCGACAGGGGGCGGCGGATCTAAGACGCCTACGGCGAATCACCGCCGCCCGGATTGGGCAAAGGACCTGCGGATGCGCCCACTCCGTGCCCAGCGGCACGGTGGCGGGTCTTAGAGGAAACTTGCTGGGCAGGGGGGAGGGGGGAGGGAGTCCGGATCCCCGCAGGGTTGTCCAAAGGGTTGTCTGGCGGACGCGCTCTGGGCTCGGTTCGCGAGGTGTTCTGGCTCTCATTGCCTGGGACATCCACGCAACTCTGGGTTTCAAGATGCGGCGCGCGAAGTTTTCTGTATTGAATCGCTTCAAACATCTTAGGAGCTTTGGGCTTTGAGATGCCGTGCGCGATGTGGTGGTCTGGCCCATACGCATGGGGGCGGGCCAGGAGGAGGGGGAGGATTATAGGGTTCTTGGGGGGTTCGGGTAGCTCTACGGAAGGCGGTGTGGGGGTGGCAGGGGCTCCTCTGGCTGGCGCCTCCTCCCTCCTGGCTGGCGCCTCCTCCACGTCCTCCAGAGGGTCACGACCATGGCTCTCGACACCCATCTCTCTGTGGCAACCCTCGGGCCCAGTTCATCCGCGAGGGCTCGGGGCCCGAAGCCACGGCGAAGACTCCCGCCGCGTTCTGTTTCTGAAGTTGCACTTCTGAGGAATCGTATGCTCTGTTTCCCCCCCCTCGTCGGCCAGCTTCCTGTTTTCTTAAGTGAAGTGCCGCCCCCAGGGCTTGCACTTTCTGCGATTGGGGGCCAGGGGAGGTCTCGAGCCTCAAACTATGCCCCTGGGCCCCTTGCTACAAGAACATCGGCCCCCGCCTGAGAATTTCTCAGATGTTTGTGCAGGATCCGCGCTCTCGGTCGAGTCTTTCTACAATCTGCTATGGGATCTCGCCCTCGTGCTTGACAGCCATGCAACTTTCGAAGGCGCTGCGCTCCCGACGCCCAGAGGTCGCTCTCTCCGCACGAGACTTCCTCACAGTCTGCTCCAGAGTCGCGCTCTCGCCAGAGACTGCCTCCACTGTGCGAAGTTCGCTCGTCCGCCCGACTCGCGCGCTGCGGCCCGCCCGTCCCGACGGGTCCGGGTCCGCCCGCCCGTCCGCCCTGCCTTCGTCGGGGTCGTTGCGGTCCGCCCTGTGTATTTTTTCGGCGAGGGCCATCGAGGAGCATCCTTGCATCATCGAGCCGCACAAGCACGCACGAAGCCGAACGGATCACGGGGAAGGCACGCCCGAGCGGTGGCAGGAGGAGGAGGAGGAGGAGGAGGAGGAGGAGGAGGAGGAGGAGGGGGAGGAGGGGGAGGAGGGAAGGCGGAGGAGGAGG